TCTCATTCACTTACCACCAGGACTCACACATTTCTTCTTTTAATGTAACATCTTTCATTAGTGGATGTCATAGACTTTTGTTTCCAAATTATCCCAGGTTGGTTGGATGTAAGCCTCTTCAACCCGGCTTTTTATTCCTGTGATTTTATGCTTTCATTTTAACCTTTATCAAGGCACAATAACTGCTAGCAATTATTTTATTCCTTGAACACATTCCAATAAGTTACCTTTTTATATTGTCAGAGCAGGGTATTTAAAAAATTAAAGGATCGAAAATCTATTTTCAACAAAAGAGAAATGGAAAAAAAATTAAAAGCTAAACCCACACATAAAAAATAGAGAATTCTTAAATAAATAGTTAAAAATGATAAGCCTATATATGGTACACAGACACATTCAGACAAAACACTTATACATATAAAAAACATTAAAAATAAAAGTAAAAGTATAGGTACTAGATATATTTAAGGTAATATCCCCAAGTTAATGATCAAATAAACAATAAAAACCACCACAAAATGTTGGCATAGTGTAATATTAACATTCCCAAAATGGTCCATCACTAATAAATAATTTGCATCCATTAATTTGTTATTAATAGTATGTTCTCATCAACATTTAATTCTTATCTTTAAAAAGTATTACTCAAATTAACTTGCATATCTTAATTAGCTAGAAGCATTCTACAATATTGTTCTTTAGTGATAAATGTCACATCTTCACCATATGAATAAATACAAAATGTGTATAATAGGAAGCTTTTTTAGAAGCTTTGCTGAAAACTACCATCACCGCTCAGATCAAGACTGGAAGGTTATTTTACATTCCAAAATATGCTTTGTAGTGGCCTAAGATAGTACCTAGGGCACACAGAACTTACTCATCAGCTTCAAATAAATGGGCACATTCAGTATTTGCTCTTTTAGAAAGCGGCTTCGTTTTCAACATTAAATCTGTGAGATTCATCTATATATTTGTTCATAACAATAAATTCTTCTTTTTTGTTTTTATGTAGTATGACAATGAAGATAAAACAATTTAAAAATTTAATACTATTTTATTTATTCTTTGAAAATTCACATATATACACATATACATATGTATTACTTTGATTATACCCACCCACCACTGCCTCCACCCAGCTCTCAGCTACTGCTTGCCATATTGTTTGTCTGTACAATTTCACATCCTCCTTTTTTGTTGTAACTGATAATCTCTAGAGTCCAGTTAGTGCTGCCCAAGTGAACACAGGTATGAGGCCATCCACTGAGGTGTGAGCAGTCTATTATCAGTAACCATGTTGCCCTGAAAAGAGTAATTTTCCCTCTCTCAGTAGCTACCAGCTGTCAATAGCCCCTCCAACAAGGAATAGGTCTAGGAGTCTCTCATTATCCATAATCTTATGCAGAGAACCACCAGCCCTGTTTGTCAGTCCATGCAACAGGCATGTTTAGAACTCAACACTCCATCTGCCAGTTCATACATTCTTTATGCCCCAGTTTCCACCATATTCCAACTTTGAATGAATGAATCTTAAACAGATGATTATCTGCAACGGAGCAGTCACCATTGGGTAGACATGGCATTTTGACTAGTTATAAGTCTTTACATTAACCACTACCCACTACACAAAGAATCTTCTTTGACCAAGGTTGAGGGCAACACAAATCTATAATCTTAAACATAAATATTTAGAAGGCAGCTTCACTGCATGTTCTCTTAGCAAAACCGCAGGAGTAGGTTTTTGCCTTGGGTCTATGGTCTTTCCATTGGCTACTGACCAGAAATGAAAACTCTTCTATAGAGCAAGCCTCATAGCCAGTCAGAAAGCAGTTGGTTACTTATATAACTATTATGTCACTATTGCACCAATGAGAATATCGTGTCAGACAGACCAGCTTTGTAGGAGGCAGGTCCAGCACTGCATGAGATAACTGATGTATTTTCTCCCCCGTCAGTTTGTGTCACCTTCTGGAACTACATAAGTTCATCCTTTCCTATATTACAAAGGTATTCTCATCCAAGTCGACTGTTCAAGTATATGTCTGTTTTTAGGTCTTCCATTGATCTATTTATCTTACATTAGTTTTGTATTCTGTACTGTCATAAATCTTAGTGTCTTATACTGTAAATTCATTCTCATTTGTCAAGATCATGATTACTGTTCTTCCTTTGTATTCCCATATGCATTTTAGAATCAGCTGTCAAAGTTTCTTTAAAAATGCTCAGACATGTTTAGAATTATTTGAATGTATAGTCCAATTTTAAAAGGCCGATGCCTTAACATTGATTTGCCTTTAAATTGATGCAAGTTATCATAATATATTAATCCTATTACCCATCTTATTTAGGTCTTCTTAATTTATTTCCATGAAGCTTCATGGTTTTTAATGTAGAATTATTATTCATTTTTGTTACATTTTCATAGATATTCATCTATTTTAAAACCATTATGTATGGTTCATTAATTTTTTATTTTCAGGCCACTGAGATAGTTCTGTATAAGAATCTTGCCAACAAACCTGACAACTTGTATTAAATCCATGGAACCCACACAGTGGAAAAAGGGAACCAACTCACAAGTTTTCCTTTGACCTCCATAGTCATTTTGGTAGACCTTGTGCACCTTGGAACAGGCATGCTCAACCCCTAAATAAATTCATAAATAAAATATAATTAAAAGTACAAACATGGCCGGGCGTTGGTGGCGCACGCCTTTAATCCCAGCACTCGGGAGGCAGAGGCAGGCAGATCTCTGTGAGTTCGAGGCCAGGCTGGACCGACAGCCTCCAAAACAGAGAAACCATGTCTCGTAAAAAACCAAAAAAAAAAAAAAGTACAAACATATCCAGTGATATTGTGAAATTTATTTTAATATACTCAAGGATTCTGTGTATGCACACTTGTAACAAATATGACTAGTAAAATATTTGTTCTTACTTTCAAATTAATTACCTCTTACACTTACTTATTTTGCTTGCCTTATTTATTTATCCAGGACCTCTAATGAAATACTGAATCCATGTAATGAGAGTCAGCATAGTTGGAACAGTTTTAATAATCTAGCTTCTCCATCTCATCCTTCATTCTCTAATTCAGGAGGTTCTCCTTGGGGACATACAAAACCCACAGCTCAGTAATGGTGGTGCACACCCGAAATGTTAGCACTTGGAGGCTGAAGCAGGAGGATTGTAAGTGTGACAACAGCCCACAAGACCCAGGAAAACTATATTTCAAAACAAAGAAACAATGATCAAGTCTCACCTGATTCTGATGTTAGGGTATTCTAGATGGACATGCTGCATAATATTTTCAAAGGATAAGTTTTATTTACCCCCAAGAACTTTCCCTGTAAGAATTTATCACCCTCATTTTCTTTGTCTTCCTGTCTCTATCCTCATCTGTAGGAACTATGGCTATATAAAATACTTATTTGAGACCCTAGTACTTGACTTCTATTTCTGGTTCCGGCTCTGGAAATAATATGCATGAAGGTTCTGGAATTTTAACTATTTGGCTGGCTGTACAAAAGAAAGCATTGTACTTTACTGGGTCAGCAGAATATTTTAAAAAGAACCGACTACCATATTTTAAATTTTCTGCTTGGTAATTGTTGGGGTCACAACTGAATTAAATTCTCTGTATGCACATTCTCATATTCACATAGGTCCCCATACAGTCATATGGGCCACATGATTCTAAATAATTTATCCGTGAAATACATGTGAATACTATTAATCAACAGGGAGACTAACAGATAGCATGATATTTCTTAAATACAATTACTTATAATTATATAACAAAGGTAAATACCTCTTAAGAGGTGGGCACTTATTAGACTGAAGAATAGTGATATCAGGACAGAAAAAAAAAAGATCCTGTGTCATAAGATTCAGAAAGACAAACATACAAGAGTTTAGCCTATCAATAGTTTCAGTGGTGGCATCAAACAGGTTCTGATCACACCCCCCAGAAAACCCTCTGGTTCTTTTGCTGTGTTTTGCGGAGTGTTACAGTCACGGAGTACACATGTTCAAAAGAATGCAAGTTCCTTTGATCGCTCCCTCTCCTTCAGGAACAATGATGCAGAGCTGCCAAAGAGAACCCCAATGCAAGCATTTTTATTTGTATTAGATATAACCAAAAGCAAAAGTCGAAGGCTCATTTAGTAGGTATTAGTGTGGAGACAAGCACACCCTACAACTCAGTGAATGTAGAAGGCCATCGGTTTTGTGAATAAGCCTGGTCTACACTGAAAATATCGATTACACAAACAATCCTACCAAACTTGACCACTCTCCCCCTCCACATCTCACCCTAGATTGTAAGGGGCAGATAAGAGAGCCTCCAAATATGCCATTATCTGTTTTGAACTTCATTCGGACTTCTGGTTGGGAGGGATGGAATGGAGAGGATGTCCTGGAATAGGTAGGTGCCCTGTCCCAGGGCAAGAGTGGCAGGCTCCAGGAGTGGCAGCAGGGATAATAAAAGCCTCTGTGGTCCTCCAGCAGCTCCAGACTAGAGAGTCCCCTGAGCCTCCTGAGCTTGAAAAGAGAGAAAGTATATTTGGCGGGAGAGGACACAGTGCTGACTGGGCATCTTGGCTTTGGAGTCTTCCTATTCGCATTAGCCTATCTGTGCCAGCGGATGAAACAGGGCTGCGGCAGGAGGCGTGGTGTTGGCCAAGAGTGCTGACCCTTTGGCCCAGCGCTGGGACAGGAGTTAGGAGGAGCCCTGGGCACAGAGGAGGGCTAACCTGATCTTGCTCCAGTCCACCAATCCTTAACGGATTTTCTTTCTCTCTCTTCACCCTTTTCTCTGCTTTCTTTCATTCTTTCTCTTCCTCTTCTTACCCTTTTCCCTCTCACCCTCACCCTTTCTGCCCCCTTCCCCTCCTCCCCCTCCCCTCCCCCTTTCTATGTATGTGAGCCTCCTCCTTTCCCCTCCTCCCCCTTTCCGCCTCTCACCCTCCCCCTCTCTCCATCTCCTTCTCCTCTCAGCTCGCCGGGCGACCCTGCTCCTGCCTCCCACATTAATGGCGGCTTCTTCGGAGGATGACATAGACCGGCGGCCCATCAGAAGAGTCCGCTCCAAGAGCGACACGCCATATCTTGCAGAGGCCAGGATCTCCTTTAACCTGGGGGCAGGTAAGGACGCCCCTCGCCTTCGTCTGGGTGTCTGGCACCTGCTTCCTTCCCTCCCTTCTTCCTGGCCCGGATAAGCCCCCGCCCCTCCCTGGTGCCCCCTCCCTGCGCCCTCCTGCCCTGCGGGTGCCCTGCTCTTACACTCTCTCCCTTTGTGTCGCCCGCGTGGGGAAGGCGTATGCATGTGTATATGTGTGTGTGTGTGTGTGTGTGTGTGTGTGTGTGTGTGTGTGTGTGTGTGTGTGTGTATTGCAGAGGTGGGGGAGGGTAGCGCGTAGAGCTTTACACCCAGCCAGTGACACCCACGCGGGCTTTCCCCTTCTAGGAAGAAAAGATTCAGTGGTAACAATGACCCCAAGAATCACCGGCGGGGTGGGAATGCGTGCGGCTGTGGGCGGAGACGATGGCAGGGCTTCCTGGGTGAGGCTGTAGCTACTACAGGGTGGAACTTGTTGGTGACATTCAGACTCCGGTGATTTTGTCTGGAGGGTGCCACCGCACCGATGCGGGGGGGGGGCGGGGCTGACCGGGAACAGAGACTGCAAAGCCACATTGGTGGTAAAGATGAAAGCATGGTCCACAACAAGCAGCTGGGTGATTCCGAGTGGCCCAGATAGAATTAAGTGAAAAGAGAGAGTGGGAGAGGAGAAAGGAGAGGGCCCAGGAAGGAAGGAAAGAGGAGAAAAGGAGGGAGGGGAGGGAGGGGCAGGGTAAATAAAGGGGACAGAGAGATTCAGAGTTACTAGGCTTCAGCTGTGTGCCTCAGGCACCCAGGGTCACCTAAGAAGAAACACCTGTCTGTCCTTTACCTGCTGCTGCTCCACACTCAGTGGAGTTGCTGTCTCTGAAGTTTTCACCACTAACTTCACAGAGCACTTCTGAATGGCTGCTAACCCTCAGCCCTACCTGTGCTCCTTCCTCTGCAGGCTGCCTTCCCTAGGCAGAAAAGTACTGGGAGTTTTTCCCTTAAGGCTCAACTTCAAAATAAGTGTTAAACATCAGACAACACTTTCTTTAAATTTAAGAATTGAATTGGGGTGTGTGTGTGTGTGTGTGTATGCTGGAGCAAAGAATAAGTATGGAATGCCCTGTGGAGAAGAAGAATTTAGACACAGAACTGTTGCTTAGTGAAAAATATTCACTCTCTGAGTAAGCAACTTTTTGATGACTAGGAAAATGGGAACAGACTGGGCCAGAGCAACCAAGTATGTTTTCTTCTTAGTGATTTGACTCTTTAAACAACATGCATGTGGTCATTTCTTAAATGGTTGCCTCTGGCTTTGGGATTGGAGGGGAGAGACTTTCGGTATGGAGTTTTGGTCATTGTTGGTTCTGCTCTGGGAATCCCTGTTTGCATCTTCCAGGTCTTCCACAGACTTGAAAAGTGTTCTCTCAGGCTAAAGATACCAGGAATTATTGATGTCTTCAACTTAGTAGAAAAGAAAACAGACCAAACAAACAGTTAGTAAAGATGGTTTGCCTTCCTAGCAGTGCTATTAGAAAACAATAAAAGAAAGCACTAAAGAAGGCTATCAAGTTTCAGCTACCACTCAACCACAGATTCAAACCAATGACTTAATTTTTATTCTGGTTAAATTGCTCTGGAGACCAACACTGACTCTTCATCTCATCTGAAAATAAACAAGCCAGACATGGACCCAGTCCCTCCTGTGTGTCCCTAAAGGTACCACTAAAAGCACAGTGAACAAGACCACCATCCTTTAGAGAAAATGCTGAAGGCAGTCACAGCTCTGTAAGGAGTGCTGAGGAGCTGTCCGCATGTCCTGGTGCTGAAGGGAAGGCAGCGCTATGACTGCTTGAGGGATAAGCAGTGAGGGAGTGCTACTGTGATTTCACTGATGAAATCCTGGGGAAAATATACTCTCCAAAAACATTTCCATTCCTCACCGTACCATACACACACTACTGCCTGTTTGCTGTGTTTCATGACTACTGCTCCATGTTCAAATAGGACTTTTCCCCTTCCCCTCCCTAATGTTAGAATGCCTGCCCACTCCTGGGGCTTTATTTTCCAGCTGGTTTCTGGTTGCTTTCTTAACAAAGTAGATGCATTCACAGATGTGCCTTTCTACCACATTTAAAAGTAATTGTAACCCCTGATTTAAAGGAAGAGACAAAGCAAACAGCCTTGTTTATCTCCTTAAGCAGAAAGCTGTAATTAAGCTATTAGTGTCATTATCAGGGCTGCTGAACAGGGGAGGCTGTGCACTCCCAATAAATTGTATAATGTGGGAATAGCAAGAATTTCATTTGCCTTTAACAGCAGTTTACAAACAACTAGTCAGGCAAGCACTTCTCTGCTGTTTCCTCCTTCCCCCAAACACAAAGCTATTCTTTGATATTTCTGAATAAATTCTCCCCCTTTTAGAGTGCTTCTGTCAAATATTTGCCTCCCCAACCCCAATTATTGTGTATAAGTCCATATTTAGTATTTTACACATTTTTCTTGATGATTATGAAATCATATGGGGGTACAAACACCTTACACCAACCCATATAGCTGCTGAATGAAGAGGACTGGATATTTTGAAAAGTAATCAATTACTTTAGCATTATTTTGACTATACCCTGTCCCTGACAGAACTTTATCATTTTGGGAACAAGTCCAAGGTTTAGTGTAGGATATACTTTTTCATCTACACCCTCACAATCAGATGTGTGTAACAAAACATGGATCTTTCACAACTATGTGGAAATGCCAACTTCAGATGTATCTAGACTGAGAGAACAGAGATTTTCTGAGCCATGTCTTTTATTTGACCAAAATAGCCCCTTTACTGGGTTTTATGCTACTGATCAACATTTCGGAGTTACAAGTATTGATAAATGGGTGCTTGTTGAAGATAATGTCAGTGCTAAAGAAATTGAAGACAATGTATTTACTGCCAGGCATATAGACACCAGTGGGAGTGGGTTGCTTATTCTCCTGAAGAAATTCAAATTTGTTGAAAGGATATTCTATAACAGGGGAGTGTGAACATCACTAACATTTACCTTGAGATTATTTATCTTCTTGCCTTATGAAATCATTCGTTCACTGAATTGAAGAGGCAAGTACCTCCTTATGCTTTCTTATCTGTACATTATGTGATATAGAGTATTTGGTAAGTAGGTGACACTAAAACTGAAGGTCTATAAAAGTGTGCAATGAAGTGAAAGAAGGGGTTGTGGAATGGGAAAGAAGTAAAGCATGTATACAGTATCTTAAAGAGATGTCAAATACAAAATTCTAGCTTCCTCCTGGTTAATTTTAGACCATATGACCTGCTCTGCCCACATAATATGTGGCACATAGAGGATATGGTGTGTTTGTGTGTATGTGTGTATGTGTTTTACACACATGTATGTATGTGTGCAGGTGCATTGTGCAGGTGCATGTAAGAGGCTAGAGGACATTGAGTGACCTCATTATCCCTCTCCACATTAGGCCTTTAAGAAAGGAGTAGTAGATCTAGACTTGTAGCCACCTAGTTCCAAGATCATCTAGCCAGTCCCCCGCATCCCATAGCTTTGGTTTTCTAGGTGATGTGCAGCTATACTTCTTATGTGGGTGTTAATATGAACTCAGGTCTTCATGCTTATGTAAAATGGTCTCTTTCTCTCCAGCCCCAGGAGGTGAGCTCTTCTTTGATACTGCAGAATTGCTTTGTATCTCTGAATGTTTTAAATGGATAGCATGGTCACCCTCAGCATACTTACATTTTCCATAGGACCAGGTTCTGCTTTTGTTCTTGATATTGCAGAGGAAAGACATTTCTGACTTCACTGCTTTCTTCTACTCTAACATGTCCACAGGATAAAAAGGAGTCCTCACTGGCTTGTGGTAACTTAAGAGTAGACGGGTCAGCTACATTCAAGACTTTTAACCTCTTCTTCATAATTAAAATTAAATACTATTGTATAGATAATAAAAATCCAGAGATAGATATTGGCGGTCAAGTTAAATATCAGAGACGCAAAACAGCCAAGCTACCAGAGAGCTCTTACCTCTACCAAGGCTGGGGGAATCCTGTCCTCAATATGGCTGGAGACTAATTGCCAGGTCTGAAACCCTGCTCCTATCTTATATACCTCTGTAGTGTTGGGATTAAAGGTGTGAGCTCTGTTTCTATTTTTAGACTGATTCACTCTCATGTAGCCCTGGGTGGCCTGGAACTCACAAAGATCCATCTGTCTCTGTCTCCCGAGTACTGGGACTAAAGGTGTGTGCCACAATTGCCTGGCATCTATGACTGTGGCTAGCTTTGCCACAGGCAAGCTTTATTGTGCCATAAACAATATATAACCACAAAATTCTATGCAAGATGTATGTTTTCCTTTTATCTTTTTAGATGATTAGGGAAGGCAAATTTATAAACAGACAAGCCACATGACAGGCAAACCTTCAATATAAAGTTTTAAAATTCACAGGGAGTGATACTTCTAGGCACTTTCCTGGCCACAGATTACAAAACATCTTCCTTTTCTCCACTGGCACATGGATTGTCATGAACAAATGAACTGCAGGTTATAATAACAGCAGTTGTATATCAATTTTTTTACAGATACCTTTTATTACTAAAGCAAACTATTTTTCAAAGAGACTTGCAGAGTTACCCTTTGATCCACATAAGTTCATTTTTATCCCTGTTTAGTGTACAAACGAAATAGTTAAAATTTATTATAGTTACTATTTAAGTAGAAACTAGAGATGATTTGTTAAGGCTAACCTTTTCTTTCCTTAGCTTAATGAAGTAGAAGAGAAACATATACAGTACAGCCAGTGTGTCATGTGAACACAGTAAAACCTGAGGGAACCACTGGCCCCAGGTGCTGTTCAGTGTATGAGGCAAAGGAGACTCTGGCATCTTCATGGTTTGTTTCATCACATGGACCAGTCACTTTGGAAAGTGTATGTGACTTCTAGAGGGGAAGAGTGCCACATCGACATTAAGAATTCTTTAATTTATAAATCTTTAACATAACAAAGGCTAGTTAAATATGAAATCAGTTCTATGGTCTTATCCAATAATAGTGGATTTGTACAACTTTCTATATGAGTTTCCAAAAGCCAACAGGAATGATCTCACAATAGTATCTCTTAAATATATATGAATGACTGGGATGTGTAAAAGCTTGCAAGTAGCTTCATCTTTTCCCACCCCATTTATGTACTGTTAATCATCTGCAGAATCTCTACTGGCAAAGTAGCTGGGCTATGACTACAGACATGGCGTGTGTGTGTGTGTGTGTGTGTGTGTGTGTGTGTGTGTGTGTGTAAAGTATTCTGAATAAAGCCCTATTATCTCTGCAATACAACCAAATAATTACATGTTGGTTTAATATTAAAATCATGGTTTAAACAAAGGTACAGGAAGAGCTTTATAACTCTCTATTACTCATTCATTTCTCCCATATGCCACCTTGACCCTTTACTCATACTGATTTAGTGATATTCATTCCATTAAGAACATTAACTGAACAGTTAACTATGGACCAGAGTCTTTTCAGACACTGCTAACCTAAGTGATGAAAAGAAAGACGTAGTATCTCACTCTTGAATTTTAAGTTCTAAAAGTGGATTCTGAACCATAATATACTTTGGAACATCCCTCACACAATGCTTGGAATCATAAGTGTTTTGGATTTCAGGTGTTTACAGCTTCTGGACATATGTGTAATTTTATCAGTTGAATAACTTTACTCTGTAAAACTGGAAATCAAATCCACCCTCAACCCCAAATCAATAATACTCAAAAATGATTTGGGTCTGAGGCATTTGGGTTGAAGTTTTTTTCAGATTAACAACATTTGGAGTATAATCCATGAGGACATCACATAGAATTTCATAAATTAATACATGTAAAGGACAAACTCAATAAAGCAGGCTAAGAGTTGACTCACATGGAAGAAGAAGGGTAGACTGCAAGATTGACAGTGGGGAGAAGAAGGGACTTCATTCAAGTTCTTTGATTCAGGTAGAAGAATAAACAATATGGAATCTGGTGGGGGATGGAGTGAGGAAAAGCCAAGGAAGAGGCCTCAAGCTAGGCTGGTCTAGGTATAAAGGATACCAGTGAGGCTGGAAAGGGCTAAAAGAGGGAGATGAATAAGACAGGAGATTCCAGAAGGAATGGAATTTGATCACACATGAGAGAGGAAGTAGGAAAGCTGGTTCCGAGGCTTAAAGTAACACAGAGAAACAGGTGAGTTACCAGCAAGGTGCAGATCTCCTTACAGCCGCATCTCTAGTCAATGGACTTATTTGATGGATTACTTTGCAGTGAGGGGAGAGAAAAGCCCATGGTATTTCAGAGGTTGACCTGAGTAGTGAGGACGGAAGGGCTTGCGGGGGTTAGCAGAATGGCACAGTTCCAAGAAAGAGCTGCCAAATGTGAGATGCTTGCTAAACATCTAAGTGGAGATCAAACAAGCAACTCTGCAAGTGTCTGATTCAAATGAGGTTGTGCATAGAAAGCAATAGTTATAACCATATGCAGAGCATGTACTAGATAGACAGCATTTACTATCTTTGTCATAGTGAGGGCTTTGTAGGCATCAGCCCATTAAAGTGCCTCACAATGATTCCTGGAGACTGGCATTTTTCCCGTGTGTACATGTAAACTAAGTCACAGAGAACTTACAACATGGTGAAGGCACTACAGCCAGGAAGAACTGAAATTTAGATCATGTGATTTATCTTCAAAATCCATGTTCTAAAAGGCCATGATTAACACCAAAGAATAAGCTAACATCAGAGGTCACATTTAAAGCTGAATATAGCTGAAGGAAACAACAAAATGGGGATAGGAACATATTCTAAGTATTACAAGACAAAGCTGTGGTCAAGACTCACTGTAAGAAATGAACTTTATCTCACCCTACTGGATGTATACATATACTTATAACTGATAAGTACATTCTGATGCTTTTTGTACAGTTCTATGCTATCCCTCCTGCCCTGTGTCATTCTAATATATTTTAATTATAAAACAGCTAGCTACAATCCATCTAACTGACTTTACAGCTTACAATTTGATAAATATTACTTAACTAAAGGCTTTCTGTGGGATTTTTCTGAATTTGAAATATTTTCAAAGAAATATCACTTGGTTCTTCTGAATGGTTGAGATTACAGTAAATTTTCTTCTCTTACCAGACTGGGCAGGCCAATCGAAGAGAAAACAGGACTACAAAGTCAGGACTGGTGTAGCCCTCGGGTACCACAGGCACAGGTGGCAGAGGTGAGGGAGGTGGTGGCCGGAGAGGGCACAGGAGATATTTTTAGAAGCCCACAGAGACACTGTAATTTCTTTGAAAGTTGAAAACAAGCATGAACTAACAATCCCATAAAATGTGTTTATCATTTTGTCATCATACAAATATTATATAAGAGATAGTTTCTGAGTCCTGACAAGAGTGGAAATAAGGAGGGGGGACTTCTTCATCTATGATGGTGCAATGGTACAAAGACTTCTGGAAGCTTCCTGGGTTCTGCCTCCCTGCCACCACTTGTGCAATCTCTTGTGAGACACCTCCCCTCTCCCTCCTTCAGTACCCTGGGTTCTCTGTAAAATAGAATTCATGGTGCTGGCCATACAGAGTTTGTTTTGAAGACCTAATAATTTAACGAATGTGAGACCCAGAATAATGCTGTGCACACTGTCAGTGTTTCTTATCACAAGTGGATAATGAGCTCTCCACTGCTTCTCTCTTCTGCTGCATTTTCAGCCCATCTTTCTATGGTATTGATGCCTCCTGACCATCACACCCACCACCGTCAGCATGACTAGTGCCACCACAACCATCACCCACACCACACACATGTAATCCCAGAACTTCTCCAACAGAATGGACAGCAAAGACAGGGGAACCCTGGGAAGTCATGGGCAACTGAACCTGAATACAGTCTCGAATAGAGAGTAGAGGGACCCTGTCTCAAACAAAGTGGAAGGCCAGAACTACTGACATCTGAGGTTATCCTCGGATCTCTTACACACACACACATACACACACACACACACACACACACACACACAGAGAGAGAGAGAGAGAGAGAGAGAGAGAGAGAGAGAGAGAGAGAGAGAGAGAGAGAGAGAATTTCCTAAAAAGCATTAACATCTTTCCTTTCGGTAGATAAGGGGATTGTCCTCTCTTCTTCGATGGGCACAAAGTTCTGTGATGATTTACAGAACTGCTGTTACCCAAAGCCCAAGTTCACACATAGGATCTGTATCACACTCTGAACCTATAGCAGGCAGATTATAGTCTGCCTAATTGTCTTTATCCCTTTGAGAACCAAGATTGAGAATGCTTTCCCATAGCAAAGTGCTCGACAAAGGACAGAAGCATGTGTGGTCTTGGTGACTGGGGCAGCTTTCAAAGTCTACCTCTGGCAAAGTAAGGCACAGGAATGAAAACCGAAACAAACTAATCCTGTTACGATAAAGCACAAGGGGGACCCTGGCGGATTCCATGACAGGCAAGGGTGACCGAAGCGGAGGGACAAACATGCCAGGCAGCCAGAGCTTAAGTGGGAAGATTTTTTTCCAGAAAGGGAAAGGGAGCGGGGGAGAAAACAGAGGTAAAGAGACAGAGAGACAGAGAGATGACAGGATGAAGAGGGAGACAGGAAAAGTCCTGTTGCCCCAGGGGAATAGCAGGAAAGAGATCGGGAAAGAGAGGAGCTGGAAGAAGCGTAAGTGAGCAGACATCTTTCTTTTAAAGGGGTTCTTTGCACCTGGGCTGACCAAGGTACTGCCTGAATGCATTCTGCCAGGTGGCAGGGGCAGGCCAGCATAATACCTGAATCTTTATAAATCACCCTAAGGTGTTGCTTTTGCCAAGGCCAAAACCTAAATCCAACTTTTAGTTGTCCCCGAGGGCTGAACACAACATTTACCACTGTATCCATTGAGGCCGCGTTCACGGCTCTGACGTCAACTCTTTCTGTGCAGTGTGTTCTCCACAGGATCTCCTTCTCACTACAAGACAAAGTGCTCAACTTCTACAAGGGCTTTTGCATTTCAGACTTGTTTTGACTTCTCCCTGCTGTGCTGCCCTCACTTCAGCTTCCCACGTGAGAGTGATGTTCACGAAGGAACCTGTTGTTTTGACCCCAAAGCACCTGTATCCCACCCTAGAACCACGTGGAATGCCACAAGGGGCATTGACGTAACTGTGCACAACACAACCAGATAACTTGACTGTGCTCTTTTGTGACCTCCTCTCCTCACCCCTTCACTCTCTCTCTTCCCCCAACTAGATGCCCTAATTACTTGCTCTAGCCTTACAAAAGCGTAAGCAGAAGTTTCAAAGCAAAACCTTTATTTCTGAGAGGGAAAGGCTTAAAGGTCCCCTGTGGACGCGCGGAAGTCTAGGGCCGTTCATTACCTCCCACTCACACCACGGAATTACAGTTTGCACAGCTGTGGAGCCAGCTGCCCTGCGTTTACTCCAGACCTCGCTCGCGCTGCCTTGCAGCAGGAGGCTTGTTATAGGCTGATCAGAAAGCTGCCTGTATCCTGCTAAGACACTTCTTCAGTAGGAAAGTGACTTCCGTCGGCGTTGCGGTTAGAACAGAGTTGCTCTGCGTGGAAAACAGCAGTTCTTGAAACAGCTTCATGTTGTTAAAGCTGTTCAACTGAAACGGAGCAGGCAGAAAGAAAAGTGTGAGTGACTGGGGTCTTTTTATTTATTTGGGGTTGTGTACTTACAATGATCTTTCCCCAAAGGTATGGATTTTATTCGCAGAAAAAGTAAACATTTCAACAAATTAGGGAGAAAGCTATGGTAAATAATATGGACCACACAAAAATCTGGTTTATCACTTATTCCTTATACAGCCAATCATGCCACGTGATTTCATACATGTATTTCACTGTATTTGATATTAAAGACATTTAGTTAATAGTTTTAAGGACACTAGGTGTCCCGTGCATTTTGCAAATTGTGCAAGGTTTCTCAATGACTGCCTCTTTTTTCAAGTGCTAAAATGCCCAAGGCAGTTTTCCTTTGCCCTCTCATGAAAGGAGCTTACTGTCCATATGCAAGGATAAATCATTAATGCGGTTTGTGAAGTGTAGCCAAAGGTGGCCCCTGTACTCCACATTACACTCAGTTCTCACCACAAAACCCGCTGTGCAAACAAGCTTGCCAGCAGTGGCTTTAAAGGATGCTTGCTCAGCCCTTTTGTTGGCCTGGAGATTCTTTGTGCTACAAATGTGACTCCTGTATCTGCAACCAAAAGTCAAATGGTATGCTTTCTAGGTACCTTGAGGACACCAGTTCCTAGAAACAAAAGATATTCTCATATTTTCCTTGCTCATCAAAACTCTGAATCCAAATGTCCTACTTGGTTGATAGTAGAGCAGCGAAATAAATGGAGTGTGTGCTAAAATCTAAGACCTGCTGCAGCATCTATAAAAATGATACCAGGTCAAGTCAAAGGATGCTCAAGCCATCCTTTAACTTCCTCCCCTGGCCTCTGGGTTATAACTCACATAATGTGGCCTGTCTGAACAAGTTCTGCCCTAAAGCCACCTCACAAGCAAGCATTGCATCTGCAGAGTCCTTTCATAGCCTAATTACAAGAACAAGAGCAGAGTTACAGCCACCAGGATCTGTGTCCTCGAGCCTCCCTGAGCCTACTTCCTAAACCAGTGAAGTGGAAACAGTGAGACAGAGCAGAATGGTGACTGAAGTTAGCCAGGGCTGACAAGTCTGACATAACCATTCTATCAGGTCCAATCTCAGTTCTCCCTTGCTCCCAACTTCATTTACATAGCCATAAACAAATAGGAATACATTGTCAACATCCCTGACTTATTTGTACACACTGACTTATTAGTACACACTTGTCCATGATCCATTTAAAAATACCAGTTGGTGATTTAATTTAAATCTAGTCATTACTGTACTTGGTTATGATCTGTGGTGTGGAATTGCTGAACGGAAACCAGGAATAGTCAATAAAAGGCATTGTTCATTAATATTACCAAACAATATACTGAGAGGAGACGTCTGAGTGTGAGAGATGTAGTTCCTTTTCACATGATACCAAAACTCCAATCTGAAGATATTAGCACTTTACTGCTAAGTGTAATCTCCACATAGTATTGCAATGGAAGTACTGGTTCTATGTGGGTTACAAGGCATAGGAGGGGGCAAGGCACAGAACAGATATTAGTATTCAAGGACAGCTTTCTCACCCAGAACTGGGGGAACTGAAAGCACGAGTGAGTGCTAGAATACTGATTGACAATGTATGCATTCGTGGCAACAGAGAAAATGCATTCTGTGACACCAAGCTGTATCAAGGCTGCTCCAAAACTCTTCCTGGTTCTTAGATAACTTTCCTCCATTAGTCTCTGCAAAGATCAAGCATAGTCCAGTAGTCACAATGAACCCTCAGTGCACTGAGTATCTTCCTTAAATTCTAACTGGTCACATTTCTCAGAGTTGCTCTTTGGTGAGTTACAGGGAAACAATGGTGTGAATCATATAAGTCCATAAAAATGTTCTTCTTCTCCCTAAATCTAGTTTCTGCAAATCTGTTGTTGAGGCTCGGTTCATTTTCGATTCAGTAGACCACTGTATGGGTCTTAGGCTGTGGTAACTTTCCTCATCCCATCCCTGGCCTTGCCTCATTCTAGAATAAGATTCTTTGCTATGGTGACAGTCTAGCAGTAATGTGGTCAGGAACAAATGCACATATAAAGGTAGTGAATACAGGATCAAATCATGCAGAGGAGGTATAGGAACTCTTGGTTCTTTCAGGAGCTGCTGTAGTCAGGCAATGGAGAACAATGGTCTGATCACCTGATGACAGAGGAAAGTGTCACAGTACAGTAAAAGGTCACAGTAGATTTGCATCACAGACACGTATTTGAATTCTAACACTGCTGGGAAGCTTGAGGACAATATTGTTATCTTTTTTTAAATTTCAGATTGCTTACCTACTACATATAATGTATAGTAATATATAATGTAAATATTGCAAGCAATAGATTATATAGTATATGCATTATATGTTATATGTAATAATATACAATATTATATATATGTTGTTAGAGATATAAATCAAAGAACTGGCGCAATAGGTGTTCATTAAGCACCTTTCCTGTGTATCTAGGAGGAAATAGACTTGGTTATCTTAGTGACATAAAACCTTGATGCTGTCTTTGTGACAGATACTAGGAGGCTATCAAGAGTCTGTATAAAAGCTTGGATAATTTTTAAGAAAAGGAAAGTTGAATTGTCTTTATTCTGACGTTTTATTTATAGTCATGTTGTCTATTTAATAGTGTTTCACACTTTCGTCAACAATGAAATCCATAAATAGGTTTGCCATCCAGAGAAAGAGGCATTTGTTTTCTGAGAGGAGACATTTCTGTCTTATCCTGCCTTATATGCTTGTGACTGTCAGAGGTTCTTGCTGTAATGTATACTTAGACATATTTGTCTAGTGAAGGGATGGATGAGAACACAACCAAGTGGTACCCACTTCATCCTTCAAAGAGGCTGTTGGATTTCTCTTCATCATCTAGTAGCACCTACTGTCATCTCTATAGATCCAGTCCTAACTCCTCCTCCTCTAACAATACCTTTTGTGGAAACTGTAGAGCAAGAAGACAAACCTATTCTCTTCAGGCTACCCACAAGTTAGGCCTCTATGGGATGATGTATCCAATTCTTGCATTCTTTTCTTTTTGGGGGAAGGGTTCATAGAGTCTCTACATAATTTGTATTTCAGTCCAAAAAGTTGTGGGAAAGATTATACTGATTAATCCTTTTATATGACAGTTGCCACATACCTTTTCAATAATACCATTAATTTGTCTCTGTCCAAGTGATTCCCGAGACAGCAGGGAGGATAACAGCTCCCGTCCTGTACTCTACCATGAGGTACATACCCAAACCTCTTTTTAATTTGTATTTTGAGATGGGGTCTGAGTGTCAGTTGCTCAAGCTGCCTTGATTCATGCTTTGGTCTTGAACATGTGATCCACTTGCCTTAGCCTTGTGAGTAGCTGGGATTACAGTGTACCATGAGGCCTGACTGTAATAGACTGTGTGTGTGTGTGTGTGTGTGTGTGTGTGTGTGTGTGTGTGTGTGATTTTTTGAGACAGAGTTTCTCTGTATAGCTCTGGGTGTTCTGGGACTCACTCTGTAGCTAGGCTGGCCTTGAACTCAGAAATCAGTCTGTCTCTGCTTTCTGAGTGCTAGAATTAAAGGCATGTGCCACCATGCCTGGCTCAGGGATGGAATGTTTTGCAAAGCAAGGAGACATTATGTCTTCTGCACTGTAGAAATAAGACTATCTTTTATTCCATCTATTAAGAAAATTGACAAAGACTGAAGTAGACATTATGAAATATGAAGCAGATATTATTAAATAACCATAGTATGCTTCTGATTCTCTCAGAGTCTTCTTTTCCATTCATACCATAATTAATATAATAACATTTATTGTATGTTTGAAAGACATACTTAAATTTTGTAAAATAAGTCATACTGAAATCAGAATCATGTTCTATGTTTGAGGCTATCCTTAGTCTTCAACATACTTGAGATAATCACAAACCAAGAGGAGGTTTTGGTTGATTCTGCTATCAGATGTAGGCTCCCTTTAAACTGAGAAGGAAAATCATTTAAATATTGAAGCAATTGAACTGAAAGAAAGCTTAAAGACTAATTATTCAATCAACACATCTCGCAAGGGAGAAATTGGGGCTTTTGGAGCTCTGTGGTCCCTACAGAAGAAAAAGACAATGACAAAGAGATTTCATAGAATCTACACTGCAGTTCACCATGGTTCCCAGTACTATGATGGGGCAGTCTCAGAAAAGTTCCCACAAGCTGCCCTTGAACATCTCATCCCAATTCCATGACCAGTGTCAGCATAGTGGTAGCTTGAACTTTGTCTTGAAGAGAGAGTATAAACTATGTTAATCAGCACACAGTCTGTAAATTAGAGGGTTGTTAAACATTTCTTAGCACAGCACCTTTAAGTTCATAGAGTTGATAGTGGCATTCAGTAGACACACTTGGGTACTGTTGAACTACCCCTCATGTGGTCCAGATGTTATCACTTGTCCTCTTGTGTTACTAAAAATATTGAAGGATCCAGTTTTGCTTGGCTAATTTAATTTGGCCACTTGCCCTTCCAAGACTTATTTACTTTGAATGACCTAAAAGCACGCTGACAGGTAATTTTATTATTGCTTTTCAATTATTTTAAATGGAAAGTCAGTGTGGCTAGGGTGATGACTGTGTAAGCATATCTAATGAAAATATCTTTCCACCATTAAAATGGATGTCACGTGTATGCCATTGGGGAGTTTGGAGCAGTTTTTATAGAAACTATTTTATAATCCTACATTGTGTTTTGGATACTTATCAAGAGAGATATAGATTGTTTTTGCAGTCTTTTCAGTAGTCAGATTAAAATGATCAACATTCTGGTGTGTTATGCAACATCGCCACATTCACTGGTCTTTGCCACAGTAATGCATTAACTCCGTTTGGAATTTACATTCGATTGAGTGCATGTTGAGTCATTTGCCACGTTTCCTTACCAGCCATGCAAGCTGGAAGAGCCCATCTTGAATTGAGAAGTCAAGAGCTCTTCAGAATTATCCCAGCTCATCTTTTCTTGGCACAGTTGCA